AACACCTACTCATTTCAAATTCTTCCAAAAATTACAAGAGGGAAGAATTCTCAATAAATTCTAGAAAGTCAACATTATTATCCTGACACAGCAGATAAAGGTGGTCATAATTAAAAAGAATCTACAGATCAATATCCCCTAATCAAAACTACATATGCAAATGACCATACAAGTAATAACCAAACCCATCCAACAGGATTATAGGCCACGAAAAAGTAGGATTTATCCCAATAATGTTAGTGTATATAACACACAGTACAACAGAATACAACCACAACACACTACAACAGAACAAAGAGAAAACAACAAAACTCAAGGGATTTGACAAAACCCAATCCCATATAAAAAAACATACTAAAGAGGAAACAAGAGAAAAATTCCTCAACAGAACAGGCACCTAAGAATTGCCACAGTAACCATCATACTCAATGGGAATGAAGGCTTTTCTCCTAACAGTAGAAAGACAAAGATGTTCACTTTCACCACATGCTAAAAAATACTAAATAAAGCATCTACTGGAAAGGAAGAAATAAAACAATGTCTTTTCACGGCTGACATGTTCCTAAACATTTGCTTAGAATATAGTAGTCAATCATTTTTCTTCAAAAGTACATTAGACATTTACTTTGCTTTTTAATATAAATTGTGGAATAAAGCTTATTTAAATCTAAAACACCTTGCTGGCTTTTAGACAGGAATGCCATTACACCGATCCATTTGGAAAGAAGTGTCATGTTTAGTACAGAGTCGTTGAGTCTATGGAGAGGTCATTTATCTTCCTTCACTTAAGCATCCTTTATTTCATCAGCATTTTGCAACTGTCAGGAGCCTTACACATTTCTGTTCATTTTTACTCCAGCAATTATGCACCTCCTAACAGCAACCATACATTACGAGGATGCATCCCTAGGTGATTCCACATGCATGACCACAGTATCCTTATGCAATCAAGAGGCACAGTAATAACTGAAGTATATGCTCTATCTGCTGGGGTAATACAGCATGCTGTTTGTCAGGGTTTTTTTGGTTTTTTGTTTTTGTAAATATAAGGAGCGTAGTCTAAACGAAAAATAGAAAGTATAGCATAGCAAACACACAAACTAGCAAACGGTTGTTTATCACCAGTATCGAATGTTATGCTATGCTTTTGTGCAACTAGTAACACAGGCCTGTTTCCTGCAGCGTCACCGCAAGCATGTGCTGTGCCAGGACTTGAACTGGCTACGCTGTCACTAGGCCACAGGAATTTTGCAGCTGTGATGATGTTTCATTAAATTTTCTTCTCATATAAACGGAAAAGATACAAACAGAAAAATATTTTCCATGGTTTAGTACCCCAATATATGCACAGTCTGTTTCTTCTCTGTGCATCTATGTCTTCTATTTCCTTTTATTACCTTATTGTGCTAGATAAGTTATAGCACTATTCAGAAAAGCAAGGTACTGTATATAATGGTGGGAGTGAACATCCATCGCAATGTCCCCAGCTTTAGAGAAAGCCGAAGATGCCTTTTACCACTGAAGATGATAACTGCTGTGGGCTTCATAAACTGGGGATGGTCGCTCTATTACTGGTTTGTAGAGTATTCTACGTGGATATTGTGAAATGTTTTTTTCTAGTCAAACTGCCATTATGTAATTTTTCTTCAATAATTTCCTATGGATTACATTAACTGCATTTTGGATGTTGAGTCAACCCTCTTTATCTCACATGGACACCATTTGTTCACAGTAGGGACACGTTTTTATAACTGGATACTTCCTATTTGCTCCTAAGCTTATGGGAGATACATGTCTTCGTGATACAAAACGCATCACGAAGTGTCCCTTATCCTTTGTGAAAACATTGTATAAATAATTAATTCTTTTTTAAAATGCATATTTGAAAGGAGAGCGGGATAGAGGGAGAGGAAGGAAGTGAGACGGATGAAGAAGAGTCTCTCCCATCCACTGGTTCATTTCCTAAATGCCTACGACACTGGCAGCCGGGAGCCAGCAACTCAATCCAAATCTTGCACATGGGTGACATGGACTTAACGACTTGAGCCATCATCTGTCGCCTCCCAGGGTATGCATCAGGAGGAAGCTCCAACTGGAAACAGAGCCAGCATTCTGATGTGGGCTGCTGGTGTTCCAAGAAGTGAATTATTCAAGACACCAAATGCCTGTCCCCAAAAAAATCATTAATTCTTTAAACATTTGATGGAACTCTAGTGATGATTATAATTCTTCTTTGCTGGGGGGCTATTTTTATTTTGGAGATTTTTTAAGAAGTACAGCTTCGCGAATTCAAATCACCCATGTGATTGCCTATGACAATCTAATCCATGGACCTTTCAGCTTATCTACATGACCACCACTGAGTTTTGGCAATTTGTGGTCCATTCCTTTATGCTGTCAAATTACTGACATAAAGTTGTTACCATTTTCTTATGTGGATGCATGGAAAGCTTTTTCTACCAAGGACCATTTAGATATTTATCACATAATTCATGGTCCATACAAAACTATCAACATAAAAAATTAGCTTGTTATAGGTTTACTGAATTTCAACTGCTGTCTGTGGTTAACTTGACAGGGCAGACTTAATGATTTTATGGGCCAGATATTCCTCATTCCTGTACAAATGTGGGAATAACAATCCCAGACTCTTTCCTGATATCTATCTATTTTTGTCAATATTACTGGTGGTATACCCAATTATTGACTTTTTCAAAAATTTGCCACTTTTTGGGCCCAGTGCAATAGCGTAATGGTTAAGGTCCTCTCCTTAAACACACCGGGATCCCCTATGGGTGCCGGTTCTAATCCCGGCAGCTCCATTTCCCATTCAGCTCCCTGCCTGTGACCTGAGAAAGCAGTCGAGGACGGCCCAAAGCCTTGGGACCCTGCACCCATGTGGGAAACCTGGAAGAAGCTCCTGGCTCCTGGCTTCGGATTGGCTCAGCTCCAGCCATTGCAGCCACTTGGGGAGTGAATCATTGGATGGAAGATCTTCCTCTCTGTCTCTCCTCCTCTCTGTACATCCACCTTTCCAATAAAAAATATACAAATCTTTAAGAAAACTTACCACATTTCAACAGTCCTCTCTATTGCCTTCCAATCTCCAATTACACAAATGTCTACTCCTACCTTTTTCATTATATAAGGTATATTTTGCTCTTTTATCGTTTCTTAAAGTAGAAAATTAAGCACAAGTTTGAGACCTTTCATATTTTCTACTTAGAATTATTAATTTTCCTATCAGCACTACTTTACCTGTGTCTCACATACACTGATAGCCAATGTTCTCATTTTCATTCAGTGAATTTTTAAAGCTTCTTTTGATGTATGCATTTAGAAAGTAAACCACTCAATTTCAAAGTAATCAGATATTTTTCTATGTTCTAGTACTGAGTCAAAATTTGATTTCATTCTCTCAGAGAATAACTGTTGTTACTTTGATCCTCTTAAATCGGATGAGATTGTTTATGACCTAGAAAATGGTCTACCTTTTTGAACGTACCATGAGCGATTGCGAGAAAGACTATTCCATTGTTGTCTCAATTCTATTACCAATGGGTGATGCTGTCCAATTCCTCAATATCCGCCCTTAATTTAATGTCCAGTAATTCTATGTTATGAAAAGCACTGATGCAAACAAGGATTTGTTTCTCCTTTGAATTGAGTAAGTTTTGTTTGTGTATTTTTTTTAAAGATTTATTTTTATTATTTTTTTATTGGAAAGGCGGATATACAGAGAGGAGAGACAGAGAGGAAGATCTTCCATCTGATGATTCACTCCCTAAGTGAGCGCAACGGCCGATGCTATGCCGATCCGAAGCCAGGAGCCTCTTCCGGGTCTCCCACGCGGGTGCAGGGTCCTCGACTGCTTTCCCGGGCCACAGGCAGGGAGCTGCAAGGGAAGAGGGGCTGCCGGGATTAGAACCGGCGCCCATATGGGATCCCGGGCGTGCAAGGCGAGGACTTAACCACTTGCGCCACCGCGCCGGGCCCTTGTTTGTTTATTTTGAGGTTGTATGGTTCAGTAGGGACTCACTTAGAATCATTCCATTTTTGACAGATTAATCCTATCACCAATGGATAATATTCCTCTTTTTGTTGACTATGTTTCTTAAGTTTATTTGATGTTAACAAGGTTATTTTTAACTTGTTTTTATTTGTATACCAATATAACTATGATAGTTACAGCAGAGCTTTCTATGAATAACTTACTTTGTTTTATACAATCTGAAATTTGTTTTTTAAGGATTTATTTTATTTGAGTTACTAAGACAAATGAACACAGAGAGAAAGCAGGGATAGAGAGAGAGGGAAGGAGAGAGAGAAGGAGGGAGAGAGATAGAGATCTTCCATCCCCTGGTTTATCCCTAGGACTAGGGCAAGACTAAGCCAGGAGACAAGAGTTTCTTCTGGGGGCCCGGAGGCGTGGCCTAGTGGCTAAAGTCCTCGCCTTGCACACGCCGGGATCCCATATGGCCGCTGGTTCTAATCCCAGCAGCTCCACTTCCCATCCAGCTCCCTGCCTGTGGCCTGGGAAAGCAGTCAAGGACAGCCCAAAGCCTTGGGACCCTGCACCTGTGTGGGAGACCTGGAAGAAGTTCCTGGATCCTGGCTTTGGATCGGCATTAGCATAAGCCGAAGAGGAATATCTTCCTCTCCGTACATCTGACTTTCCAATAAATAAATAAATCTTTAACAAAAAAAAGAGTTTCTTCTTGGTCTCCCAGGTGGGTGCTACAGGGAGCTAGATCAGAAGGGGAGCAGTCAGGATTTAAAATTCAAAAACCAGTGCCCATATGGGATGCCAGCATTCTGGGTAGAAGCCTTACCCACTACACCACAACACTAATCCCTGAAATTTATATTTCTTTGTTTTTATTTCTTTCTGTGAAAAAGCAAAGCATCAGGGAGGGAACAAATAAGCAGGACATTCTCACCCGCTGATTCACTCCATGAGTGGCCCCAATTGTTCATCTGTGCAGTGCACATGAACTCACCTGGGAGGGTCTGGTCGGAGAATTCTTCCTCCAGTGTCCACGGCTCTTCTCCCTGCTCCAACCTGAGGATCACTTCTGGTTTGTAAACACAAAACCCTGTGAACCAGAAATAATGAAGGACTTGGACCAGGCAGCCTATACGTCACAGTTTCTGACAAACAGTGACCTCGGGGAACTCACTGGAGACGCGGACCCAGATATCTTCTGGCTGTACCTGTAACTGATCAACAGACACAGACTCCCGGAGCCCAGTGCTAGATATCACTGAAGCGGTCCTCAAACACTCTGGACTTACACTTACCCACTGAGACAAGGTGGCTGTAGTTCTCCAGCATCACATCTCTATACAGAGACCGCTGACTGGAATCCAGGTGCTGCCACTCCTCCGGGGTAAATCCTACCATCACATCCTTAAATGATACTGCTCCCTTGCATGTGTGTTCCATCTGAAATATGCAAAACTGGAAGACAGGGAAAAGCGTATGGAATTAATTCTTAACAACGATCGTTGTTTACAGAATGTTTCACTTGCTTTATATTATGGGGAGGAAAGAGAAATCCTAATAGGAATGTTCAAAAGGAATTAGTAAGTCCCCAGGATATACCTTAGACAATTATAGTTGTAAGAAATGCTTGGGGAACAGCCTCCCCCAGGGGTTGGTTCCCAGGCAGCAGGGCTCAGGTTGGAGGCTTGGGTAGCCATGTACTTAGAGCCTGTTGGGTCAGTTGGGCCCGAGACTGCAGACTTGGGCGATGCCCCTGGGACAATCAGCCAGCTAGGTGTGCAGAGCCAGGGGACCAGTCTCCCCTGGGAAGCTGGTTAGGTACAGGAAGCCAGAGGGGGCCGGCCTCCCCAAGGGGCTGGCTCCCGGGCAGCAGGGTCCAGGTGGGAGGCTTGAGCAGCCATTTGCTCAGAGCCACATGTGTCAGTTCATCCTGGGGGTGGGGTCCCGGCCAGCAGAGCTTGTGTTGGGTGGCCCAGGCACAACTGGCCACCCAGAGGTGTGATTTTGAGGAGAGAATGCAAAGACCTTCAGAGGTCAGACAGAAGCGCCAGCCTTTGTGGGAGATCAGAGCTGGGGTAGTTAGGATTGACCAATGCCAAATACCACCCACTGGTGCACACTAAAGCCTGGGCTGGGAGCCTCCAGGCAGGAGGCTAGATCACAGTACCTGCCAGTGAGTCAGAACAGGGATGGAAAATGTTAGACTGGGCCATGGCACTAACCAGCATGTGAGAGAACTGGACCTGAGGAATATGTGGACCCACCCCTTGATCTACAATTTCAGTTGGTTTGCTTGGCAGCTGGGGGTGGTACCAGGCTAAGGTAGGCATGACCATGGAGCCCTCCAACACTCATGGGTACTGGTGTTGGGTATAGACTGCATTGGTACAAGCTGCAACATCCGCAAGCACACCCAAGAACAAAGTGTGGAGTAGGCCGGGCCACACATTCACTGCTCATACACAGGCCGGAATGGAGGGGGTAGTCTCTGATCAGTAAGGACCTAAAACCCACTGGCACATGCACTATTTGAGGCTGGGGATGGGCCTGGTGGGGAAACTTGAGAAATGTCCATGGTAGGCCATAGCTCCCACTGGTGAGCATGTGATTCAGGCCTGAATGTTGGTCAGACCAAGCAGGGTAGCTCCACCTGTTGACAAGTGTGTGGGTTGGTTTTGGAAGAGGGTGGACCAAGCAGGGTTCAGCTGGTAAATAAGCTCATTGGAAATGCAGGAGCCAGACTGGAGTGCAGATCATGCTGGGCTAGGCTATCACACCTATAGGTTTGCATGAGTCAGGGATAGGAGCTAAAGCACTTGGGGGAAAGAGTATATAAGGAGTAATAAAGGGAGGCTTCAGAGAGACTTCCACCATCACTGGTCTCCTCTTGGTGCCTCATTCCCAGACCCTCGCCGTGTCCACGTTACTGGTTCTGCTAGCTGGAGCAAGGGTAGGCCAGGGAAGGCCAGGCTACAGCACCAGAAGGCAAAGGTCAACACAGCAGATGGGTTATGCCAATCTGGGTCAGAGCAACCACTGGCATGAGCAAAATCTGTGGCTGGGAGCAGGCCTGCTTGGCAAACTAAGGAAATGCCCCAGCTGGGTTATGGTTCCCACTGGTAAGCATGGGAGCCAGAATGGAGGGGGCGCGGATGGTCTGGGCTGGGCTGGACATGGCTGCATTGTCCCTTGGCATGGGTATGG